GTGTATATATATATATATATATATATATATATATATACACTCACCTAAAGGATTATTAGAAACACCTGTTCAATTCAGTATTACGTCATCACGTAAAGATGGCCTGTTGAGAGTGAATGAAGGAAGAACAAGACCGTTACAGTCATAGTCCTGCGTTTTATCTAAAATATAACCACACAAACACAACAGTTCCTGCCTGCAGCCATTGTTCCCGGGATAGGCTCCGGTCCCCCCCACGACCGCAGTTGGGATTAGATTGCCATATGCTTCCACAAACTTTATTTTCTCCATACCACCCATGTTTTGAGTCCGTCAAGAAAATGTTCTCACATGCCGCTGTACTTTTGCCTGATCTCAACACACAATAATTTAGCCCACATATGTAAATGTAAATAATAATAATAATAATACATATATTTTAGATCCATTTAGGGAGGCATGGGGGGTTGTACTGTATATACGTAGCAGTCTGAAATAGTAGCTACTTGGGTCTGAAATAAATATATAAATGTAAAGAATAATAATACATATGGGCTAAATTGGGTTTTTACAGAGGTAATCAGAATTTCTAAAATGTTAATAAACGCAAAGAGGAAGAATATAGAGCCAATTAAAATTGTCCCTATTTGTAGCACAAAACCACCATACAGTACATGCAGTAAAGGACAGGAGTGAACACCATGGCAAATTCTGAGGGACATTTTTGGTCAAAATGCAGTTTTTACCATGGACAAACACAAACACAAAACAAACAAAGAAAAACAAAATGGAAATAATAATAAGACAAATATAAAAATAAAACAACAGTAATAGCAATAACAACATTGAGTTTCAGCTGCAACTGTGATAACGTTGTGTGTATGCCTCTACCTTTGTAGGTGTGTACTATTGGTTATGTGCAATTATGTGTGTTGTACAGATAGGTGTGAATATATACCTATATACATACATATATATAATATGTAATAAATACGTATATATGTTCATAGATGTGCTAGTAGTTGATGTGGGGGGGGGGGGGCTTTTTTTTTTTTTTTTTTTGTTTAAAAACATAGCCTACATGGTATTGGTGTTTTTCAAGTCAAGTGGACTTTTTACCGGGAATGCAACTGCACCACCTACACTTGACTAATTTAAATGCATTTATTTTCTTTAACAAACTTATTTCTCTGGATTAATCACTATTTGGGCTCTCTCATCTTGCACCCATCTGGAAGAAAAGCTGAGAGTCCATTCGATATCATGATATTCAAACGCAACCCCCTGAGTATGGATGGAAGTGCTCAATGGTGAGGTATTTTTCACATAAGAAAAACGCCAGTCTACACCTAAGCAAAAATAATTTCCTTACAATGCCAATCCCTGCACAACTATGAAAAAGATGCAGGCTAAACACCAGACTCTGACAATGAGGAATATTGTAGGAATAATAATAATAATAATAATAATAATAATACAGTTGGTATATATATGTAGACCTATATGTGTGTATATATCAAAAATTTGGGTATTGGATGTTAGATGTCACAAACAAATTGAGGGGTGGAGAGAGAGAGACATACACATGGAGAGAGAGAGGGAGAGAGAGAGAGAGATTTGTTTAGAGCAACTACAGTTTGAGAGACTAAGAGCAATTCTCAAGATAAAGATCACATATAGTTCTAGGTCCAGGTTATACATTCACCAGATCAAATATTATTGTGAAATAAGCCTAGCTTACCTTCTTGAGGCAAATAAACAGGGGCACCATTTTTGGAAGGAAATATATGTTTCTCAGCAGAAGGCTGGATGTTATTCATAATACATTTTTGACTTGGATTACTACGCCCACAGTAAACAGTAACTAGAAGAAACCACACACTGCAAGAAGCCAACAGGTAACACTTTGCTTTAAAAGGAAATAATCTAGACGAAACAAGACAGTCAAGCAAATGACTCCATTTATTGCAATTCCAAAGTAATACTTGTTTGAAGGTCTATATATATAGGCATAAAATATATCTGGATATTTGCAGAATTTTCAGTTTAATGTTGTTTGTGTACTATTCATCGTAGTTATTTTGTTGACAGCAGAGCGTATATGCGATGCAACACAATGCAGCAGTTGTGTTTCAAGCTAATTAGTAATTTGTACTTCGCTTGATTATTGTCAGATGGTGTAAATGTCCACCTAAATTTTGCACACCTTTTAGCATCTTCCCAATTATCCCAAAGCTGATCTAGTTTATGTGTGTAATTGTATATTTCCAGAATAGCCACAGAAAACTGAGAAAGCATGTTTTGATTTCATGCAGTTTGAGAATGTCAAGTTTTTACCTCAGTTAATTATACTCATCTGACTGGTGGGCACAATTTCCACTTAAGACAGCATTAGAGACATTTACAGAAAAAAACAACAGCTAATCCATACAAATTTACTACTGCAACAGTAGTGTGCCTGGTTTATTAAATTAAATGAAAATGTTATGAATATACGAATAACGATTTAACAAAAAGAATAATGCCTGTTAATTAATGTACTCCTCAGTTTCTTAGCATGTTCAGAAGATCCAGCTTATGATTTGGGAGGGGGGAGGACTGTTAGGAATAATATATATATATATATATATACACACACACACACACACACACACACACTAATGTGAGGACCCACACATCTTCCAGCCTGATCAGAGTGATGGGGCGCCCCTTCTTCACTGAGGAAATGAATCCAGTCTCTCCACTGGGGCAGAAAATATGAATGTAAATATAAACCAAATGACAGTTTACCATCAAACAGCTGAACAGCAGACCAGGGGAATGAAGTTAAAAGGGCACATCGGAGTGTGTGTAATATGGTGACCAGCAGTCTATACCCACAACCATTAGATCAGCCCATATTAAATCATAATAACCTGAAGCAGAAAACATCTACCATTCCATTAAATTTGCAACTGTAATTAAGTAAAGCCTGGGCAAAAGTCCACTTTGCACATAAGCAGTCAAAATTGTTCCTTCTAGATGATATTTTCAGTTTTTTGCAGAACCTTGCATCTCTCACTGATTTAAGGTTTATCTTATGTAACACTGTACATCCGCTCTCTGCATAATATGGTGTGAGTCACTAATGGGCCAGTTCACAGCACACGAGAGCCTCCCACGGTTTAGCCGTGTGCCAGCACTGTGCTGCTAAGATGCCTGTTCCATGGTTACGCAATTCTAACTGGTCTGTCACTCAGCTTCCCTGGCTGACATCTTTCTTGTGACAGTAATCATGTTACTGGATCATCACCCATCTGCTTGAAGGTTGTTCACATATCCTGAATTACAGAGATTGTGGTGATTATACAGAGAGAAGATGAATGACCCATATAAAGTGTGTTTGCCCAGCAATAAGGCTGGGACTGAAATATAAATCTAGTCTCAGAACTTCCTTCTTATTCTTTGTGTTTCTGGCTCATGACCACCAGTCCTGATAAATATAATTAATCTTAGGAGGAGGCCCTCATGATTCTTCCCCAACTTTTGGGATTGTCTTTAGATGATACCCATTTTTTATCCAAGCATATAATCTCTGGCTCTTTGATATGAAATTTGCTCACATTGAAAAACATGCAGGGTGTTTAAAAGCATTTAAAAACTGATAGGTCACTTAGTTACAGCATTACTCAGTTACCAGGAAGGGTGTGTGTGGACCTGCATATGCTAGTGTTTGCGGATTGCAGCCTTGGTAATAAGCACTAAATCAGCTCCATCTGAGAGTAATCTCAATGCAAATATTAACTAAAATGTACTTACCCATCCATCAGCCATGACCTGGGTTTAGGAGACCACAATTCTGTCGTTTTCCTGAGCAGCCATTCAGAACAGCGTCCTAAACTAGAAATTTTGCCAAATAGCCCTACGATTTTGAGGTAATATTGCATTTAAACTTGCCCAGGTCTACAATTCATTAACAATAACCTATGTGTCACATTTACATTAGATATAGTTATTGCAGGGCAGTTACACAACTTTGTGCAAAGTTTAGTGAACAGTGAAAACTAACCGGTAATACCCAAGGCGATGACACAGTAAGGGGAATTATAGTGGTTGTAAGTCAACCATTGACATACAAAGTATATGACAGGATCCAGTGGGGTGGTATGTTGCTCAGTGGGCACAGTACTCTGTGTCAGTGAAGGTTACCGGTGCAAGTCTGACTTTGGCAGAATAGTCACATCTCCGTGAGGCCTTGAGCAAGGCTCTTAGCCACAAGCTCCATGGGAACTGCTGCAAGTGGCCGTTCTCACCAGCATGTGTGTCGTGGACAGCAAGATTGGGTAGGTGACAAGTGTCATTACTCATATTTTAGTCCAATTACTCTTTATATGACTGAGTTTTAGCATGAAATGTGTACATTTATGAACCACAGCCAGAGGTCATCAAAACTAATGACATGGTAACATTGAGCATATTCAGGTAACTTACCAAAAAATTTATTTTTTTACAAATAATAAAATTTAAGAAATAATTTGGGTAACAGGACGGAACGTTATGATCATTTCATTGTCTCAAAGCAATTATCCCTGCACAAAGCCCCCAGTGAGCAAGCCAGAGGCAGCAGTGGCAAGGAAAAACTCCCAAGAAGGAATAAACCTAAGTGAGACTATGCAAGTCTGTCTTGTATGAGCCTTGATTAATTAAAACTGAACTGCATTAGTGGAATAACATGAGGCTAAGATTAGAGATGACGCTAGTTTGAGTCTGACTTTTTCGGGCAAGTCTCGCTTTCTTTAGCTACTTTCATGGAATACCCCCCAGGGTAAACTAGTAAGGACCCTAACATATTTGTATACTTACATACATACATACTTGCACATGGCCAATAAAATCTCATGAAATTTGAATTTTGAATCTATGCAAATTAGACATTAACAAAAACATGGTGCGATATAACTTGGGCCTTAAACTCTGTTACATCAGTTTTATCAATCATTCTTGTCATATCGTATTGGATCAGCCATATTCATCCTGTAGCATTTAAGGACAACTCATACTCCTGAACAGACTGCCATAAAGCCTGTTATATAAAAAAATTGGGTTAAATACGATAGTTCATAATAACAAACACACATGGCTTTGTGATACTTGTAAGAAAATTGCACGCCTGCGTCGGTTCACAGCTCGAGGTACAGTACAGTACCATATGCAGTTACTTTTAATTTTACTGTATAATTATTATTATGTGCTGTATTATTATTTTTTCTGACTTATCTACAAGTTCGACTTAAAAACAAACTTTGGTAATAGATCTCATTCATATCCTGGAGACTGTAATTGACTTATAAATTATCTTTTGTGGGCTTGTGGGTTTGTCTCATTTCCACAGTCACATGAAGTGTGGTTGTTGTGAACTGGTCATTCTAAATAGCCCTTGTGCCAGCATTTCCTGCCATGGATCACCTTTGACCTGCCACTTACAGCTTAATTAATTTCCACGTCTTGCTTGGTTATTTGGCTCTCTGGTTTCCATCAGGCTGGCCCATCATGGACCCCGGAGCAGCGAGATTCTCCCTCCTGCCTGTCATGTCCATCCTGCTGCTCCAGCCTGAGGCCCAGGCAGCTGATGGCCCCCCGGATGGATGTGGTGCATCCATCCTTCCGCTGTACTATAAACTGTGTGACCTGAGTGCCGTCTGGGGTGTGGTGGTGGAGGCGCTGGCTGCGGCAGGAGTGGTGCTCTCCTTCATACTGCTGGTGGTGCTGCTGGCCAGCCTGCCATTTGTGACAGACAGCCAGCGGCGGAGCTCGGTGGGAATACAGGCCAGCTTCCTGCTCTGCACCATGGGCCTCTTTGGCTTGGCCTTTGCCTTTGTCATGGGCAGGAACTTCACCACCTGCACGGCACGCCAGCTCCTCTTCGGCGTGCTGTTCGCTGGCTGCTTCGCCTGCCTGCTAATGCAGGGTGTGCGGCTGAACCTACTGGCTCGTCGGGACAAGGGCCCCCCGGGCTGGGTGCTCTGCCTGGGCGCCCTGGGCCTCTGGCTGGTAGAAGCCATCATCAACGTCGAGTGGCTGGTCCTCACTATGTCATTCCCATCGGCTAACAGCACCACTGATGTGCCCGTGCCCTGCCCCACTTCCAACCAGGATTTTACCATGGCACTGATCTACGTTATGGTCTTATTACTTACTTCCCTGATAGGCGCTGTGTCAGCTTTAATAGGCAAGAGACGCCAGTGGCTGAAGGAGTGCACCTTTCTCTTGGCCACAGCCTCCATCTCCCTGGCCATCTGGGTGGTTTGGCTCACCATGTACATCCATTGGAATGATGGCAATGGCAACTCCAGCTGGGATGACCCCACATTGGCCATAGCCTTGGTGATCAATGCATGGGTGTTCCTCACTCTCAGCAGTTTTCCCCAGATCTGCATGCTCACAGATGACCACACCTCAAAGCTTGGCTATGGGGAATCCCTCTACAGCAACACAGAGGTAACCTATGAGAACACTGTGAAGGAGCAGAAGGCGGTCGGTGTTTCCAGGACGCCCTATGAAAACTTGTACATGGAGAACAAAGCATTCTCTATGAACGAGCCCAGCCCAGGTAACCAAACGCCACACTTCAGGCATTTTATGCTTAGACGTTGCTGCTGTCCAGTCTAGGTCAAGCTGCAACGTGAAGGAAAGGGGCATACAACACAACGGTTCAAGCAAAAGGTTTGGTTATAAGTCAAATATCAGCTTTCTTTATTGCCATTTATGCATATGTTGGTGTGATGTGTCAAACAAAAACCCACCCATGAGAAATAGAAAACAAACAGGCAAGTGTCACCATAAAGGAAAACTAAATGTGTCTTCTTAAAAAAGCCCATTCTGTTTTGTATGAATACCAGCAATTTCAAAAACTGTAGTCTGTCTCAAAGCCCATCTTCAAATGACAGAATATTCCAGAAATTCAAAAAGGAAAACACACAAGAGCACATTGTTGTCTTCTATATAATTCAGGCCCTCTGTATTGTCACTTCCATGCTATTTACTGTTTGAGGGTAATCAATTGAAGCAAACATGAATTTCAGTCATTCTGTAAAACAGTCTGTTGCTTTCATGTGCAGTGAGCTTTAGTGGCTCTAAGCTCTTCTAATTTTTGGCATCACCATTGTTCTACCTGCCACATGACTGATGATCTTTTGAGTGAGAAGGATGCTAAGAAGGACTTAGCCATTGAGAGCTTCTCACGAGGGGTCTTAAGCCATGGGGAGTTTCACCTAATTGTGCCAGGCAGACAGATGTCTGGCTCTGATAAGGAGGTGTGTATAAGTCCTGAATGAGTTTAGTTCATGTTGGTACGAGGAGTTTCAAGGGAGTTAAACCATGATGTGTGTGACCAGTCCCAGTACAACCAACTAGGTGCAAAGTTGTTCTTTGCCTGGTTTTGAATGTGTAGGAAAACACTCTATCTGATCGCTTCCCCTCAGTCCCATTCTGATTCCATCCATAGGCAGGAGACCTACATCCCCTTACAGCAACTGGTCTCGCAGCAGCATTTACCAGCCCACTGCACTAGCCCTCATCACGAAGGGCCCGCCAAATGTAAGTGCCAACTTGCAGCCTTCGTTACACAGTAATAGTTTTAAGATGTACGGAGATGTTTGAAGAATTTATGAGTCAAGATCACGAGTCAGATTCACACCATTGTACTATTGTACTGGCCATTTTTCACTCTGATCAAGGTCAGCTGGAGAAATCAGTGTCTTAAGAGAAACTGGTGCTGGTAGCCTTTATGTTTCGCTGTACATTTGCCTGCATGTCGTTGGTGTGACCCTCTTTGCCCTGTTTTGAGCAGAAGGATTTGTCCTATGATGCACTGACGGCGCGGGTCACTGCCAACCCACAAGTCCTAAGCCGGAGTCCCTCTGCAGCCCCCCAGAACCAGACCTTGCCTGGAATCTGACTCATAAACACAGGCACTGTAGGTTAAAGGGAGCCATCCTACCTGCTGACCATCATACCTGCCCTGCCACCCACTTCCTGTCCTGTGATTAATGTATATGGTACCCTCACACTAGGGCCTATCCAAGGGCATTAGTCTGTGGCATCGGCTGGGGCTGATTCACGCACTTGGTGTTCCAGAGCACAGCCAACTGTTTGATGAAGCTCTACCTGCACAAAAACAGCCTCCGCTCCAGAGCTGTGAAATGGAGTTGCCCCAGCAATGTCTGCTTAAAAAAAACACAGAGAAGCACAGCTGCAAGAGTTTTTTTTTATTTTCCTGAAGTCCTGTTTAATTTGAAAAGCCCCTTTTCTTTGATTCTAGTCCAGTATGTTAAACTCAACTGGTAAGCACACCCCGGCCTCACCCAATTTTTTATCTGTGAAGAACCATTTGTCACTTGATTTTTGTCTGTTTTCCCTGTGCCTATGGACTTATAAGAAGTAAGTAGGAGCCCACCCCCCACTGTATTTCAGCCAGACCACCCCCGGGAGTGAACCAGGAGACAGAAATCAGAGTCTAACTTGATAAGATGGAACTGTAGATTGTTTCTAATCAGTTACAGCTGAATAAGATTTTGTAAAGTTTTTATTGCCTTCTATACATATGCAGAACCTGTATTCAATGAATGAAAACTGCGAATACATACTCTACCTGTGATTCTTTTCATTGTACATCATGAGTCTACCACAACATCTCAGGAAGATAATATTCATAATCAGCAGAACTCAACCAGTGTCCGTAACTTGAAACCAGGAGCTCCTGTTTTCCCACAAACTACTCATGTCTATTCATTTAATAAATGCCCCCAAGACCACAGGAACATGTAGCACTCGTTTTGTTCAATAAGGCATAGTAAACAAGGAAACGCAGGTTCACAACAAGCTCTGTTCTCTTGTAAGGTGAAACATTTGCATAGCGATCCCAAGAGATAAAGGGACCGCCCCCGAAAAGGATAGAGACACATGCAGCACGATAAGCAAATACAAGTCATGAAGTCCTCACACACATTGAATATTGGTGAACCACACTCTGTCCCACATGATTAGATGGTAACATATCCACAGTAATGCTGGCAGATTCTCACTATTTCTGGTCACAGATGAGCTATGGCGTGTCTTTGGTGACACGGTTTTGCTTACGAGATCCAAGTATTTTAACAGCACAAGTGGCCACTGGCATCCAGCCGTTCATCTAGCTTCGTCTGCTCGGTATTCAATTAAAGGACTACCAATGTAGATAATGTTTTGCATCACGATTCTCCAGCGTGTGCTCTGCTTGTGAGCTGTGCTTGTGACCTCCACTTGGCATCCATTTTGAACAGTGAAGATGGGACATGCTTTAGCTCGGCTGCTAACTGGCCTGTTTACCCTGCTTTTAGAATCACAAATCATGTTACAAACTTAGTTTGGTTATTCTAATGCATAAAACCTAGAATGGAGGAGCCTAAACGCAGTCATGCGGCCGATGAGTTCATGGCACATCCTTAAGTCAGTATAGCATAAGAGGGGCTCTGCAGGTCCTATGTGTCTATATGTGGCACAAAATCCTTAAAATCAGTGACATATTAATAGACTGTTCTAATTCTCTGAGCAAGAGTCCTTCAGCGTCCTTATGCTCTGAAAAGTAGCAAGATGTGTGTATGTTTATTGGGATTTCTTTTGTCAAAACTGGGACAAAGTGACAGAGCATGGTAACACTTGAGGGGCACAAATAATATACTATGGTGACACTTTACAATATGGTGCCATAACAACTTAGTAGTAACTCAGCCACTCAAATACAAATCATGAATAGTTTGTGGTTAATTAATACATTATGTAAGAGTTAGTCCTTGACTAATTAAGAGTATAATAGTACTGTATATTATTTATGCCTCCTCAAGTAAAGTGTTACCCAGAGCAGCTCTCCCCACCCGATCCTGTGCCCCGGACTTTCACCAAGCCAGCTTATGAGTTATCCTGCTCAGTGCTTTATGCCACCCCTGGTCACATGTTCCGGTCCGAGCCTCATGACACCACAACCAAGCCCATGTTTGAGATTCCAATTTCATGGCTGTGAAGAATCAGGAGGCTAAACAGACTTCTCTACCTACGTTCAGAGGAACACATAACAATGTTTATATTTTCAAAAAACTCATACAAAGAAGAAGAAATAATGATAAATTTTAGAGAAAGAATCAGTGGTTGAAGCAATCTTCAAGAAGACTAGAACAATTAAATGGTGAAAGTAGTACAGTGTTATACAGTATAATGCAGTAGAATACTGCAGCATAAAAAATAACACAGGACATGATACTTAGTAAATTAACATGCTTTGCTTAATTACAAATGATACATGATACATTAATGAAGATGAATGTTGTAGATGTAAGTTGTGCACAAAGACCGTTTGGCATGTCTTAATAGCTATTTCAATGGTAAACAGGTCCGCAGAGAGCCACTAATCGGATTCTGTCCATTTTTTTACCCAGACATTCTCTAAAAGGGGCAGGGAAATTGGAAAGAATCACTGGAATTACATAATAATTGTGTGGCAAAAGTGAGCTATTTGAAGGACACTAAACCCTGAACAAAATGTTAGGACAAAACATAAATGAAACATGCTTGAAAACATCTGTGATAGCCCACTGCAGGATTTGCTCTTTCAATGTTACCAAGCCTCAAAACTATCAAGAGTTTGGAATGCAAATCTTGTTCATGCAGCTATCTCAAAGGGTGCTTTTCCACCGCACAAAGTACGATACTTTCGCTTTGTATGAGGTTAGCCCCACACGAGTATCTGCTGATAACAGCAGACCTCCACAGGCTGACGGTGTCCTGCAGATTGGTATCTGTGTGCAGTGAACTAGTTTCTAGTCTAATCTGTCCTGATCTTTTTTACATATGAAAATATTATGATTTATACAACAATGACAGGCCTTTATGCGTGCCTAGGTCATAAGAGCCAGTAGGGATACAGACAGACCTTTAGGGTAGGGTCTTCATGGACGATTCTTAAAGTATAAAACATCAATAATCATGAATACCAGAATTCAACAAAAGCTAAATGCACAGTACATTACCACACTGACTTCCTTCACATTGAATTCCAAAATCGAAGTAGCAGACTGACTGATTCACATTTCCTAAATGAATCTGCATAAAGATTGCAATAGAACAGCCGCTCAGATACTGAGAATGTGCATGCAGCACATGGATTTGTTCTGTACCAACCTGCTCATGTTACGCTAAGGAGGATCCGGAAGGAAAGAGGATCACTGATCTCGTAACGGATCAGCGGATATGAGAAATGAGTGGATAGACAGAAAGAATGAGAACACTAAGAAATACTTTGATTGGGCATGGAGATGATATCATTGGGGAAACTGCATCTGGAGGGGAAAGACGGCAACACAGCAAGGATAAGGTGAAAACTGGAAAAGCAGACTGTGTGAGAATGAGAAATTGATACAAGTGCATTGTGGGAAAAATAAGTGGTAAAGGGAATCTGGGTGGTAGTCAGTAACAGGTTTATTTAGCCAAAGAAAACTGTCAAGACATGAATGACAGGCAGACTGAATCAAGAGAACCAGGTACAGTAGTCATCTTACTTTCCCCTCCCAAAGCTGCCAAACAATATTTGCCCCCCCACATCTGCACTTCACAGCCTCTCTATTTTCCCATACCCTTCCAACGACAGCGACATGTTGCCTGCTCAGCCCAGGCCTTGGCAAACAGCTGTGGCTGTCCTATGTAGAGAGAGTATACTGCTAAAGTGAAGGTCCCTCTACAGAAGCCCTGTCACACCAAACACATTCAGCATGTATTTCACATCAGCTGCTTCAAACATTATTCAGAAAAAACAAAGATGGATGATAGGGCTGAGTGCGCACATATAGTACAGGGTTAAGAGTAAATCATGACATGGAGTGGATCTGATGAATCCACACCAATCTCTCCAAGTGCCGTTTTGCAAATCTATGGTCTGAATGTGCTGACACTCTCCACCTTATCAATTTACATTTGCAGCTCAGGCAAATAACGTACCTGAGATCATAGATAGTATCTCACAGCCTCTCAGAAAGGCAGGCTAATGAACCCTAGTGGAAGGACTGCAAACAGTGCTTAGCCACCTTAAAAACGCAATATGACCATAAGAACTAACCATGAAATGAAAATGAAAACTTGAGAAATGGAATAATACATATGCACCTGATTCAGGGTTTACCCCTCCTGTATGATTCCCACCAGTTTAGGTGGCTGACAGTAAAATTTGCCCCTGCTCATTATCAACCTCATAAATGTGGATTTGAAATGGAAGTTATTATTAACTAATACATTGCTCAGCTAAAAAAATCTGGTAGTGGTTTGAGATAAAGTGTTTCATTTTTGTCACGCTAACAATCCCAACACACTTTGCAGTCCCTCACGCAGATGATTTATGATTTGTACTAATGCACTCTTCAGTATAAATTTAATAGCAATTAACTGAAATGGTAAAATAACCATGGAAAAGGGTAAAATAATAAGGGGAGACTAAGGCTGACAGGAAGTCTGAATGCTAACATCCTAAGTAGGAGCCCTGCATGCTGAGCCACATACCCCAACCAGTGGGCCTAAGGCCTGCACTGAGCCACTCTGCACTGGTACAGCCCTGATCCACTCCTGAACAGGCCGTGTTCACATCTTAGGCGTGTCTCCTCCTACACACAGCAGCAACCTGGTTTCTGTGAGTCTGCTAGCCCCTAAATTCAGCAGTTGTGCCTGAACCATCAGTGTGGGCTCAGCTGCTGCTTCACCGAGGGCCCCTGATCCCTCTGCTTCATGGCCTTCAAGTGGCGGTATGCATTGACCACGCGCTCCCGCTCCTCTTCCATCATCCGCTGCCGTGCCATGGAGGGCTTGTTGCCGGAGACTGACGAATGGCCAAGGAGAGAGCTAAGCAGTAGTTCCTTTGGCGCCCCCTAGAGACAGCAGATATATTTTGAAAAATTCAAATTCATGAACTGTCTAAAAATAAATTCATACTTGAGTTGCAGAGAAAGGGAAGCATGTGGAGAGATTTTGCACCTGAGACTTTGCTGGAGCTTTGCGGGGTTTAGCTGTCAGGGATGGGGGAGCCATGGCGACCTCCCCAAACTGCACTTTCTCTGCAAGGGAAAGAGTGACCTGAGAACGAAGCAAAATCTTGAGATGCGACTGAACCATTTGGCTCAAACATCCACCCACCTGTAAATTTCTCCTTCTCCTCCCTCTCTTCTCTCTTTGCCATCTTCTTCTTCTGCAACCTTTCCAATCTTACTTTATCAAATCTGTAATATGAGAAAGGACAAGTCAGAGATAAGAAAGGGCAACACCAAACACTATACAATAAATAAATGAAGCTGGTTCTAGCTAATCTTCAAGACCTAAACCCATCCTCATCCGCATGTTTTAATGACATAGCAACATAATCATTGATGGCATTAGTTCTATCATCCATCCATCCATAAAGCAAAGGAAGCACAGGGCACACATGCAATGGGTAATTAAGAAACACTTATTCACATAGGTTCCACACAGAACAGGTAGATGGGGGTCAAGAATCAAAGTCACAATCCAGGAGGAGTGAGGCTCTAGTGCTAATGGCTGAACTGCCCATGCTCATATCAGATGCACATAAGCACAGCCAACGAGAGGTTCAAACAGTACTCAGCAACAGCACTAAGCAAACGTGGATAGTCAGTTAATACGTACTCTTTCTTCTTCTCAGCCTTGCGCGTGTCTGCTGGCTTCTCCTGCCTGTCTGGCTCCAGCTCTGGCTGGCGCTCCACCTGGTTCAGAGTGAGGAACTGCACGTGCTGGGTCTCCTCTCTGATCCGCTGCATGTACGCCATCTTTGACTCCTTCTTTCCCCTCTGGAAGTTTGGGACAGGGATGTCCGTCGCCTGTGGGACCCCAGTATCTGGCTTTGGCGCCATGGCTACAAGGGAGGAGCAATGGGAACAGCCAATCAGATCATCCTGATTATGTGCCAATCAAATGGACAATAAAAAGCAAGCATGCATTACTGAATAACATGTTCCTTCAAGCAGCACATAAACGTCAGAAAGTCCATTAAATACGTTTCATCCATCAACCTCAACTGAGCTTTGCATCATACCTGTTGTTTCATAATTTACCACACCTAGTTATCAAAATGTTCATTTAGCTGATAAACACAAATGCTTAAATGCTGCAAATCAGAGACACTCATGAGCAAAGCACTGCAAGAGAGCAGAGATCGTAACTCTCTAAGTTAGCACCTCTCAACATGGCCTTCCGCTTGGCGACTCCCAACTTCATCATCTCCTTACTCTTCATGATCTCACGCAGCCGAAAGGGGATGTGCTCCAGGTGTGCCGTCTGCCGGGGTTTACTGTCCCGTTTAATGCTCTTTGTCCTGACAGACTTCCTGCCTTTAGACATTGTGCTCTGGCTGTGATCACACAAATAACCAGGTTATCAGCACTTCTGCGGTCAAAAAAATGCTCTACAGCTATTCATCGAGTAACATTCCAGTTACATATAACAAAGTCTATTGTAAATACAGACACTCCTCACTTAATGATTGAGTTCCGTTACTATTTCAAGCATACTGCACTGACAATGGGTTTGTGTCAACCATCTTTAGATACTGTTTTAATCTGACTTTTGCACCATTTATGACATTTTCAGTATATTTATAGATGTTTACAGGTAATTGTTTTTATTTACTTTCGCCGACGTTTTTTACTGTATGGTCAGGGTTACCAACTTTGGTCAGCTGGCTTGCTTGAGATTTTCAATTTGAAATTGAGTCTGCACACTCATTTACATACATGTAACACTTTTATTACCTTGCAAATAGTCTGTGGGGTTTGCAAACCATGCCAGAGCTCTTGATGTATGGTAGCTAATTTTTGGCTTATACTGTAATATAGATATGCCTTAAGACTTCTTGTGTGTACATGAGAGTGTCACGCCTGACGCCTGATAGCTGGCAACCCTGTGTGGGAAGCACAATAAAGCACAAATTTTATAGACGAAATCTGTAGTCTTGGAGATTGCAAACACTAGTGTAGTGAATACTTATGGACTGCGGAAAGGAAACACTGAGAAAGGGTGATGCGAAAAGAGATGCTTGATGCTGAGACGCCACAGTTAAACAGGTAGATTAAGTGAGGAGCATCTGTAATATCCACTGACTGAAAGATCCATAAAAGAGGATGTAGTAGAATATTAGCAGTGCATCGCTTAGTGTGACAGGTACAGGAGAATGGCCAATGCTGTCAGTCATATAATGACCCACTACTTACAATGGTTTCTGCCATGTTATGCATACATGCATATGTACAGTATGGACTGCATTAATGTTTGAGTAGTAGGTTTCTGATGAAACAAACGATGAGTGAGCGGGCAGCGATGGCAGCCGTATAATGACCGTCTCTAACTTGTAAAACAGTATGCATACAGTAATGTAAATGTGATAGATAGCTACAATAACATGACACAATACCTGTACGGTGCTATTTCGTAAAAAAAAAAAACAATGCAATAAAATACTTGAAATATACAATATTTCGCCGCAGATTCAATCGTCGTTTTCTTTCTCACCTCCCACTGTTTGCTACGGCTAGCATCTTTGGATTTCATAGCGGCTTGTTTTTCGTGAGTTTTAAGGGCAATCTTTTTATTATAAAGTGTTATTTTATATTTACACACTCTGCTGTACTGTGTACAGTAATTAATGTATATTACAGTAATATACATAATGTCTTGCTTGTCCCCTATAGCTAAGGAGATACGCCCAAATTGACTTGTGTCCGGTGTCTCAAACGCGATTGCCAGTCGACGGATACTTGTACGTATACCACCGGACAGGCATTTTTGCAAACATTTTTAACTTCGACAGTCTGCTAATTAAAGATAATTTGTTACGCAATGGTAGTTCCGCAGCTCCACGTCTTCAGGGTTTGTGGGCTCGGTTGACCCATGCTTTGTGAAATTAGCAAGGGTTTTCCACTGTCACACATTTGGCGTGACACTCACACTTTCAGACTTTCGCGTTCACGCAAGACATTTTACGGCGAATCCACATTATTCTATTATAAACCTAAAATTAGCTACATCAAAAGCGTTGGGGTAGTTTGCGAACCCTACCGACTATTTACGATGTGATAAAACTGTTGCATACATGTAAATGCGTATGAAGACTCGTCTTGAATTGAAAATCACGCCAATCAGCTGAACAAAATTGGCAACACTGATTAGCTTGTTCTCTCGTGTTTTTATAAGAAGTTAGCGAAATACATGTAGTAGCTTAACTAAACTTTAAGGAAACGTAACTGATCATTTTCATTAACATACCGATTTGAAGTTTAGTCTCTCTCGTATACAAGGCAAAGATTCTATTGTAAACTAAACCGATACAAGATATCAGACAGATGTTTGAACAAATAAAATAAAACCTTAATCTTAAACAAATACAGTCATGTTCTGTAATAAATAATCTTCTACCTCTTAAGCTGATTTGTTTTGGATTCACGCTGCGATTGTTCAGGTTGGGTTTTTTTGTTTTTTCCCATGTCGTAAAACTCTTTTTTAAAATAAATAAATTAAAAGAACACACACAAAATTCAAAAACAAATGAAACCGTAACAAACTATCTCCACATGGTCCTAAACGCCTACTTCCGCCTATAACCTTTAACCCTGATCAAGTCCAACCCCTAGGCGTTTAAGTTTAACACCGATTGGCTGACTATATTTTGTCTTGCTCGTATTCGTTGTTCCCAGTTTTCTAACCAATGAACATTCATGGTACGTTTTATACGTGCAAAGTTATAGAAATGGTAGGTGTATTAAGCACCGAGTAGCAGTATTTAAATACAGCTAATTCATTTTGACTATAAACTTGCTTTTAGACATGTCGTTTGCTAGCCTTAAACCTAGTGCATGTTCCACACGTGGTGTTACGGTCCGCGCATAGTGCGCGTGACGTAAGGTTAGTCAAATGTGTCCTCTAGGGATGTGCAGATCGATACGGTCTTTCGACTTGTATGTTGTCATTTTGATTCTAACATTTAAAATGTCGATTTTTAAAACTAGTAATTTAAAGGTTTATAGCATTATATGAGCAGGACATGAACTAGTACCAGGCAGGGTCGTCTGTGAGGGTGAGGGTGTTTGGACTTTTAGAAGGACTGGGGAAATGGGATGATCGGCACAGACCATGTGTGTGCAATCCAGTGACGTGTTCAAGACCATCTTTTTCGAGATCAAGACTGATCCTACCTAAGGCCAACACAAGATCAAGACTTTTAATTAAGACCAAGACTTTTTTGGTAGAATGCACCCATGTTGGGACTATATTTTCATTTATGTAATTCCAAAAAACTCTATTATTGAAAAACTTTAATGTTCACAAACTCTAAACAATAATGCAGATGTATTAAAAAACACGCAATATAACAAAATCATGTGCACAAAGCCCAGCTCCTTGACAGCGATCGTAAATTGCAACTCTAACAATCAACACTAAAACAATAAACACTACCAACAATGTCCAAAACAGTCCAGTATAACAGGGGCATTTGATGATGGATGAGTGAAAGAAGTACCTTGTGAACAGCTCTTCGAAAGGAGTCAGTGTATTTGTAAAGCTTTGAAATTGGCACGAGTTGACATTTACTAATGACAGCTGCTGCCATGCATCAGATCTAATGAGCTGATTAAGGTCTGAAACCTTGTAAAAAGAATCTGAGACTTTGGAACTCTTAGGGTGCCCAAACTTTTGCAGAGTGCCATAATAATGAAAATATTGTGCATTTTTTCCATTTCCTACAGAGACTGTGTTTACATCTTTTCCATAAAAAAATGACCAAAATATGTTATTTATCGAGGGGTGCCCAAACTTTTGCATACTACTGTATGTTAATTGGAGCAGACAGTGGGTTGCGTTTGCTGATTCCATTGTCATTGTGTCCCTTACACATGGTCGCCCATGTCGCTCAAATTAATGTGGCCTAAGTTAGCTACTCATTTGCAATTTTCTATTTCATTTGCAATTTCATTTTGATTCTCATTTTGGCAGGATTGTTGCACATAGATTTTGAAAACTAAATGGCACAGAGGCTTAGCCCACTGAGCAACACACTGCCCCCTGTTCAGTACCTACTGTGTAAGTATGAGATTTTGAACAGTACCTAAGTATTTCTTCACTGATTTTCCCAGAGCAGAGGTCAATGAAGAAAGAATAGAAGGAGAGTAGTGGTTATGTATGCTTTTGATGAGCAGCTGTGTAAGGAGGAACCCGAATATACAGTGTGTAACTTGTCATCGATGGAGCAAAACCACAAGCTGCAACTATTTCCAGTGAGTATAGGAGGAAGAGGGAATCTGTGTAGTTACCCTCAAGGATGTTTACAGCAAATGCTCCAGCAAGTGCAGTTATGACGGTAATTCACCTCAATAAATTTGTAAACCTGCACACTGTTTTTCCAGTAACCTCCAATGACATAAGATCTGTTTTTATGTTTTCTATGTTTAAGAATCATATCGACATATTAACCAAACACTGGCTTCTTTGAAGCCTGGGTTTTTAAAATGACATTTGTAAAGGTGTTTGTCCTTGGTTGGAGCTCTATGCAGACATTTCCAGTGGGTTTCATACATAGTAAAAGTTTTTCTTTATAATTATATGATTGTATCGTGTAATTTGGTGATGCGATGGGTAAGTTGTTAGTGGTGTTACTCTCCCTGCATTGCACAGTGTTAATTCAGGTTTACTCCTGCGGTCTAAATAATGCAGTTAGGCTTAAGCATGAAACTGCAATGAAGTCTCTTAAAATATTACAATACTTTAGTGGGCCTTCTACCAGAATGTCAAATACCCAAGAAAAAATAGGGAAAATACTTAAAAATAGTAAAAAAAAATAGTTTTGCAGAGACAGTCGATATTGTAATGAAAAGAATCCATTCCAGGGGACAAACTGCATATCATCCTGCTTTACACCAAAGAAACCTGTCTGGACAAATTCAGAACATATGAGGAATTCAGGGATCGGCATGATTTCAGCAAACCCACAGAATCACTTTCCATTTACCCCTCCCATCAGAATTCCAGCTAGGAGCCCAAAATTATGAATGTGAGGGTCAAGTTGGAGGTTAAGTCAGCCACACGGGTCAGGGCCGGTCCTGCAATGAAGAGGAACCAGCCATGGTTCCACGTCAGCAGTTAGTATTACTGAACGAATGATAAAAATCATGAAATGTAAAAGGACTAAAGGAGATGGTCTGGGATTTATCCAGACCACCTTAACACACTCTAAGCAAATAAATAAATCATATAAAATGGCTTATAAAGCACAGTACTATAAACAGTACCATTACTATACTGTACGTTATTGGTTCCTTTATACTTATGGAAAGAGATTGGACCTATATTTTTTGCACTAGATGGAATTCAAAAAGGATCTTCTTAAAGTAAAAATGGACATTAATCATTCTTCATGTATTCATATTTCATATATTATGCTCACTGAGCACTTTATTAGGGACAGATGTACTGTAAACCTGCTTTTTCATGCAATTATGTAATCAACCAAGCTTGTCACTGCAGCGCATAATATTATGCAGATATAGGTAAGGAGCTTCAGATAATGTTCATATAAAAGATTAGAATGGTGATCTATTTAACTGTGGCATGATTGTTGGTGCCAGATGGCCTGGTATCAGAGTATTTATGTAACTGCTGATCTCCTTGGATTTCCAAGCACAACAGTCTTGAATTATTCAGAATGGTGCAAAATAACAAAAATCACCCAGTGAGCGGCAGTTCTGCAACCAGAAATGTCTTGTTGATGAGAGAGGTCAGAGGAGAATAGCCAAACTGGTTTGAGCTGATAGAAAAGCTACGGAAACTCAGATCACCACTGTACAATTGTGGTGAGCAGAAAAGCATCACATCTCAAGCTCTCCAGTCCAGTCATTGATATTGCAGCCTACATGTGCTCCCCAGTGTGTCCTGTGCTCTTGCCTGATTCTCCCTACCCCGTTTTGTCCCCTTGTGGTCTGTTTTCCTTTTGCCCTCCCTGTAATTTCTTTTAATAAAACCCCTTTGGTTTTCCCCATGCCTGTCTTCACCTGTGTCCTTGCCTGTGACGTGACAGCAGACGTCGACATAATCCATGGACCCACCCTGCCTTATGTCAACAGTTCAGGCTGGTGGTTGAGCTGTAATGGTCTGGGGAATGTTTTCTTGGCACATTTTTGGCCCATTAATACCAATCTGCCATTGCTTTAATGCCTATTTGTGTATTATTACAGACCATGGACACTTCATGGGACACAATTTACCCGTCTTCTGAGCTTGATAATGCACCATGTCACAAAGCAAAAGTCTTCTCAAACTAGTTTCATGAACATGGTGATGAATACAGTGTTCTTCAGTGGTGACCCAGTCACCAGATCTGAATCCAACACATTTGGGTTGTGGTAGAACAGGAAATTCACATGGATTCACAGCTGACAAATTTGTAGAAATTGTGTGATGCAATTATGTCAGCATAGGCCAGAATCTCAAAGGAATGATTCCAACATCTTGTAGAATCCATGCCACAAAGAACTGAGGCTGTTTTGATAGCAAAGGGAGGCCCTACACTGTACTACTATAGTGTTCCTAATAAAGTGCTCAAGCAGTGTATTTGCTCTATTTCTGCCATGGTCTATGTATAGAAATTCTTTTCACTATCACTCTTATTATGTACCTACTGTACAATAACTGTGAACCAAATGTTTAACCAAATAGAAAAGATGTAAATAATTATATGGAAATTTATATGTTAAAAAAGGGGGGCAGCATGTGGCTCAGTGGGTTAAGCCTCTGTGCCTGTAATCAGAACATCACCAGTTCAAACCCAGCTTCAGCACATCTGCAGGTCCTTGAGCAAGGCCCTTAACCCCCAGGGTGCCAGCATGCACTACATTTCTACAAAGAGCAAGTTGGGGGAGGCCTAAGGAAAATTTCAATCAATAAAGTATCAATTATTATTAAGTTCCTTATTTATAGACATTATTATTATTTATCATTATCATTATTTATAGACATTATTAAGTTCCTTATTTATAGACATCTACAGCTAAGTAGCAGACTGGACAGTAGTATGTGGCTCTGAGGGTTAGGACTCTGTGCCTGTGCTCAGAAGGTCACTGTTTTAGATCCAGTGGTTCTAAAATCATTTAATTTTTGGGCCCTTGAGTAAGGCTCCTAACCTTAATTACTGCAGAGACTGGCTGACCCTGCAGTTTCAATATGTTGCTTTGAATGAAAGCATCAGCCAAATAAATAAATCCCCCCCCTCCAACGGAGATTTAAATGTAGATTACTCCACTGTTTCTTTGTGACCAAGTGGTAAAGAATAATTACTTGTCGAAATAAAAGAAGGTCAGACACGTCGGGAGAAAGGGTTTCCTGGAACGCAAAAGAGATCGCAATGTGAGTGCCCACGGGAACTGACATTTCTAACTAGAAGCCACAGGTCGGGCTTGTTTGTGTGCAGCACCGCGTGTCTGACATGTCGCGTAGTCTTTATGCAACTGTCCCAGCCATAAACTACAAGTATTAATAATAACACACGCGTATTTCACAAGTACCCCGGGAGCAGAACATAACCACCCAACATGGCAGAAACTATTGTAAGTAGCTGGTAAGCCAGT